TGTTACTCATTCTGCGAAGTCACGGCAGCACAAGCTGATATCCTATTCTTCAATTGGCTTTAGTTAGAAGTTCAGCCTTTTGGCCGTGTAATTTGTTGAATTTGTGTAGATTAAAGCGGAAATATTGTGATAACCTAACACGTGCACCGCCATTTAGCCGAGATACTTCGCTAACTCTAAGTTAAAGTTGAGATCCTGGCTCAGTTACGTAGTGGTCAGGGACGAACGAGATATCTCTTTGCAGAACTTTTCACAAAATATCCAGTGTTAATTTAAATATGAAGATTAGATCTCATTTCTATAAGTTACGCCGGAAACTTTTTCACACTGATGACCATTATATTGAAATCAACAAGCTGTGGGTAATCATTTGCAATCCGTTTCAATCTACTTCAATCTTAACCATCCGCGTTTATCCGTGACTTCTCTCAATCACACATTTCGATTCAATTCGTATTCTGTCATGGTAGAAGTTTTCTTTTAGTCTTAAACTAAGAATTCTGATTATCGGTAAGCTATCGTAGTAACTACACAGACTTTTCTCCACGCGGCTTTTCCGGCTGTGACGCTTGAAATTTCGACATTCTCGGGGTCTTTGGGTAAGTGGTTTTCGGTATTCTTAATCTTACCTCTCATTTATGATCACAATCACGGAGCCCCACTTCGGACAGAAGGAATTAAAAAGCTAGAGAGAGTTGATTTAAAAGTACAAGAAAATGCAGTTTCAATCTGTCAGCATCAGACCAATCGCAAACGCTTTATTAAAAAAACTGACGTTATAACTTTAAATAGCCACCGGTGTAACGAAGTAACAAGTAACGAAGTAACGAAAAATTAAACCGAGTAACGGGAAAAAATTTCAAAGGAAAAGCACTGTTTTATGTAAGAATTGTAGAGAAAACCTAAGTACAATTAGAGTGTAATTAGATCTTGTTCGATCGTTGAAGAAAAAATTCAAGGTTGTTGGATCAAGAAAAAATTCAAGATTGTTGTATGGATCGTTTGATTTGATCGTTGATATACTCCTCAAATGAACCAGCGTGGGAGGTTTG